AGTGGGTTGTTTCGTGTTGGTTCTTGTCCTGGAGCTCCTGATATGATCACATTGCGATGACCAGGTACATTTGGGACACAAAGATCTCTTCTGAGATTAAAAATACTTGAGAAGAGCAACAGAGAAACTAAAAGAACCATGGATAGTTTCAAGGCATGTCTGCCCGCCATTATGCCACTCCATATATATATGGATATATATCTCAGCTGATGCAAACAAAAGGAAGTCATATGAATGCTGGCTGGCAAGACTTCTGAGATGGTGAAACTGCACAACGGAGAAAGATATGTTTTACAATGGGTAACAGAGTTATTTTAAGGTCGGCACACACAAGGGGACTAGTCCCTACAACTAGTCCCCTGAAGAGTTTACATGAAGGGACTGGTCGCAGGGACTTGTCCCATGAGCAGTTCACATGAAGAGTTTTGAGGAACAAGTAGGGTTCTCTCGAAAATTTGAAGTAGAGGGAGAATAACTTTGAGAAGTTGGTGGACAATGCCGATAAAAAGACGTGGAGTGGTTTTATCGGAGCCACTTGCAGGGGGGTGGGGCGGCCGCGACCTTTTATTGGGGGGTGTGGGAGCCTCCCCGGAAAATTTGGGTTCTAAAAAGTGCATTTCAGTATATTTTAAGCAATCATGGTTTTATTCTTTTCTCAAAGAAAAGCAATTTCACCGAGAAAAACATACACATAATGTAATATGTTAGTTGAACAGGTTAATCATCATCTGTATCAAATTGGAAAAAAATATCAAAAATTAAACGTCAAAAACGTTTTCATTTTGTGGTCAATCACGCATGTAAAAACAGATAAGAAAGCCAAACAAGAAAAGAGTTTTGCTGGCATTGAAGGCACTAGATTGAGGTTTGACATTTATTTTGTTAAAAGACAAGTTTTGAGTGGCTTTAACACAGTGCTAGGGGTGGAATTCATTGAACGTGATGAAGCTTGTGATTGGTAACTGTTGCAAGCACAAGCCTGTAACTCATCACAAAGTAGACCTTTATGGATTATGTGATATTGAACATGTCTCAAGTTATTTTCGATGGAGGCATGTAGATTGCACTTAAAGCTTGGTAGCATCTACTCCTTGCAATTTTCAAATACCGCATCATCCACCCGTGTTTGAGTTTGCCACTCTTTCCCTGGTGAAGCCAGTAACTTAAACCTGACATAACTAATTGATGGTCACTGAAAGCAATGAGTAATTGACAACTAATCAATGACCAAAAATTTTGAGGTCAGTGATTATCCGTTGATGCTATTGATTACTCATGATTACCTGTTGATTGTTAATTATATTGTTATGCTGCACATCTGCTACAATTTTAGGCAATTTTTTTTTATTATTAATGAATGTTTTGTGACAATAATAATAGGAAATGAGAAATTGGGCTTGCAAGTTTAAATGGGGAGAGTGACTGAATTTGTAGGAAACCAAAATTGAAGGTACCAAAAAGGAAAGGCTTAGAAGGTCAAGTTGTCCTTCTCAGTCTCTTTCTCGTTTCTGATGCTGTGGTTTGCACTGGGACATATACTTTAATTTCTTTATTTTCGATTTGGTAGGTAGGTAGGTAGGTAGGTAGGTAGGTAAGACTTTATTTTACGAGGGTAACATTTGACAGTATTAAAACTGATAACCTAATGGCCCTCAAATATTAAAATTTTAGAAAAAGAAAGAAATAGTACAATCATAACAATATTAAAAATAATTAAAATAAAATCATTAAGCCTACATACATCGTAAAATATTTATAAAATGTGATTATTTACAAATTTTAAAAAAATTTACAGGAATAGTTTGCTAAGAATTTGATTATCTAAAATTATTTTAAAAAGGGAGCGTTTAAAATTTTTTACACTGGTACTCTGTTTGATGTCCACGCTTAATTTGCTCCATTCTTTTGTGGCTCGCACAGCAAACGCTCAACCCCCTTCAGTAATTCTCTTAAATCGCGGGCACATTAAGTTTATATTACAAAAACGGGTTGATCTATTATGAGTGTCAGAGTTTCTGACATGGTTTGTGTATCTGGGAGATTACATGTAAGATGGTATGGTTTGTGTATCTGGGAGATTACATGTAAGATGACTAATCTATGTCATCAATGAATAATCAGTGCAATCAATGACTAATCAGTGCAATCAATGACTAATCAATGACTGAAAATTTTGTGGCCTGTCGATTATTCATCAATTACCGGTACTCATCACTCATTGGCAATACCCATTACCCATTGATTACTCATTAATTTCATTGATGTCAATGATCAGTTACATCTGGAACTAATAAAAGAAATGCACTGTTTCTGGTGTTATAAAGAATCATTTAATTTATTCTTCCACCGGTTGCTCCACAGTTAAAAGGCTTGACTTGCAGCTTTCTAATAGAGGCAGCACTTTTAAGTGCTGCTTCTCTATAAGTTAAAACTTCTCGTAATATTCCAATTTTTGTTTAAAATGTAGATGGTGGTATAGCCCGGCTTCGAGTGTATGGCCTTGCAGTCAAGGATTGGACCCAGATGATCATGACTAACAAGGAGGTCAGCTTTTTAGTGTACAACCTGTAAACAGTTAGTGTGCTGGACAAAACTGTTCTGGATAGACGTTTTACAACAAAAAATTAAAACAAGCTAAGTGATTGTGTTAAACTGTATTTAATTCTACACCTGGAAAATTATTTTTGAGTAGATCACACAAGTGAGACTTGCGTTACAGTGTCGCCAACTGTTGGTAACTGAATCACAAAAGTATGCAAAATCATGTGATTTCTGAGAAAAAAAGTACCATATGAAGTATTGTTTTGCGAAGAACATCGTTACGTGTTTATGGATTGTTTTGTCAATAATTTGACTAGAAAGCATGAGACAGACTTAACCACTTATTTGCCCACTGAAATGCGATACTGTCTTCAGACATTGATCTTCTTTAAAATCTTCTTGCCACAAGATCACTCTTCCAACTGTTTTGAAGATGGCGGCCTTTAGTTTGTGCTTCGTACAAACCGCAATTGCACAAATTGCTGTTGTGTCAAAGCATTGTCTGCCAAGAACCTCAGACAATCCTATTTGTACTTTTTGGAAACATGCCAGACCTGTTTCTGGGCTCATCTACCAGGAGCTTGCCATTTTTTGCATTTTCTTACCATAAGACTTTGTTTGGTTTGGCTTGTTTGCCTTGTGGCCCTTCGGTGGTAGCACCACAACCTGAATCTTTGATTCGCTAAACCGCTGATGTATCACAGTACTATTGTGCTGTTTGGATGGATTATTGCTCCCCATGCATCTCATCGAGTACATGACAAAAAATCCACAAACATGCAATGATCTTCTTCACATGACAACCCTGATGTGCTAGGATGTTGATGAGAAACACAACTATTTCTGTTAGAAATCGTGCGATTTTTTGTACTTTTGTGACTTGCAGTTAGCAAATTTAGATACGTTGTAACTCAAGTCCTCCTTGTGTAATCCATATAAAAATAATTTTCCATGTGTGGAATTTAATAAGGTTTAAGACAGTCATAAAATGATTAGCATAACTTTCCTTGCTTTAATTTTTTTGTCGAAAAAATGTCAATCCAGAACAGTTTTGTCTAGCGTACTACTGGATGACGTTTTTGTGATATCCAGAATAATCAAGGTCGAGGTAGGGGTTATCAGCCGAAGCCGAATGCTGAGGCTGATAACCCTTACCGAGAACTTGATTATTCTGGATATCACAAAAACCAAATGTAATAATTGTTTTGTTATACATTGAAGGAAAAAATGGAAGTCATGTTTTTGCTTCTTCACTGACGGCAAGCAACACAAAGCATGCAAACTTGATTACCCGTGACCTTGAGTGTCTTGTTGACATGATTATTGTGTAATCTGCAGAGATGACATCACAGGCGCTGATTTCAAAAATTCACTGTACACTTTCGACCAATCAGAAAAGAGATAGTGAGTTCAATGTATAATAATAATAATTATTTAGAGAAACTATATAATAACCACACTAGCTTTTTGACCAGTGGATTGCAAAAGCAAGCCAGCCATGGGTGGTAGTGGTGGATCAGATTATGCAAATTAGAGTTGGCTGATGGCATGTTAACCTTACCATCAGAATTCTGCTCCTTTGCGGGTGCACATGTTGTTGGACATCCCTAGGACATGGTAGGTAACTGCAAGTGTTGCACTTAAAATGGAACTACTAGTTCAAATATTATAACAGTACCAAAATAAAAATGGTTGTTAAGACTTCCGGTTAATATGTTGATTATGGAAAGTGTTTAGGACAGCTTGTTTTAATTGTGTGTTAAAATATCTGGTTCATTTGTTGGTTGGGAAAATTGTTAACCTCAGTTGTCTGGGCAAAATTCACACAACAGTGATGTAGATGCTGCAAAGGACACTAGGAAAGGGTAACAAAAAGGTTGGTTTATAACTGTCAACTGTCTTGCAGTGTTGCTGAACAGGTTTTAAATAACCTTTCTGCTGTGAGCATTAAGTCCAGAGAAAAGATCTCTGGGAAAGACCACTGTCAGAATCATTATTTTCAGTTATAGAAGCTTGGCCAATCCTATGGTAAATTTTTCCTCTTTAAAACCTTTGTGTTAGATTGTGCATTGTTTAACACGTTAAGTTTGGAAAAAATTACAAGTACTAATGGTGCTGTGATTTAAAGTTAAGATCAGCTTGTTATGTCGATAAACAGCTAATGTTGTTGTTTACGTGCAGATGATGTATTAAAAAAATGATCATGTCAGGGCACAATTTGGGAAATGTTAAATAAGCGCCCACCTCCCTCGATTAAGTGCCCCCCATCTTCTCCTAAATGTAAAATAATTCAACGATTTACACTATATATCAATAGAAAGTTTATAAAATGTACAATCTGATAAAATTGTATTCTGTTTTGCTGATTGCTTTCCTGAAGCGGCAGAAGCCGTTAACAGTCAGCCCAATTTTCGTTTTTGCATCGGTCCAGAAGTCTCAAAATGAGCTATATGTAAGTCAAAAATCATTTTGGATTCTTGTTTTTGAAAGTATTTTAACACTTAATAAATAATTCCCGCCTTCTTAGGACTCCCGCTTCCCACCCATTCCCTCTCCTGCTTTCTACCCTTTCCTCTCCCGCCTCCCGCCCCCTATTCTCCCGGGCTCCCACCCCACTATCCCCCCCACTACATGTATATGATCTCCATATTCAGCCATTTGCCGCAAAAAGGTCACTGAGGAGTCCAACCTTTTGGGGATTATGACACCTTGTTGTTTTATTAACTTTTATTTACAATATTTTAATATTTGAATTTTTGAATTTTTTAAAATATTTTTGAGGGATTATGAATATTGCATAAGCATACATGGTCATCAGTCGTGTTGAGGATTTGAGGATTTTATGAAACCTGATAACCTCTCCCCCGATGAGAGTTAATAGTAAATGAGGATGGTGAAAACTCGCCTGATAAGAGTTAACAGTTAATGAAGACAGTGAAAACTTGAGAGGTAATTGGATCGTCGCATCTACAAAATGGCAGACAAGATGATATTTGAAATGTAAACTGCATTTGCTTCTAGTAAAATCCCTTATAAACGGCTCAAACAGACCCAGGAACACTGGTAAATAACAGTGCATTTATTTTACGTGAATGTAAATGATTGTGTTGTTGCCGAAAGTGTTCGTGTCCCCTGTGCTTTGAGATAGTGAGAAGATTTTTGTGAACCCAAATCGAATGGGAGCTTTAAAATTGTCTAAAATTGTCTAGAATTGTTCTTTTGTTTTTAAATTAAGCAGTGATGCGGTGAATAAAATCCCAACATGCGGTGTTGCAGTGATCTCAAACCCTTCAGTGCATGTTGTTTGTGTTTTCACACTATGGTGTTGGGTGAAATCAAGTTATTTGCAGTGCTGTGGTTAGTTGTTTGATGTTTCTCAGATGTAAATTTAGCATGCAAACTTCGTTAATCACTGCTAATTTATGACAAGCAAGAACCTAAAAAAATACAGACCAACACTGTCTAGTTAATCTTCAAAAATATATGCTTCCCAATCCAAAGCTGTTTTCATTTTCATAACTTGACAAGTAACTTTACCTCTGCCATGATGCACCCACCCATCTCAGCCTCCGAGAGACACATGAAAACCATGAGCAAGGACAGAGAAGTTAAGGGTCGATCTGCACTGAGGATGAAATCTTCTTTTGTCCATGGCAAATCCAAAAGAATGTGCAACTCAACATAAATTATTTGCCCTGGCACATCCACACTGTCTGTTTACAGCCTGTCACATTACTTATTCTTTGCTTTCAATCGACTCAAGTCGACAAGCATTTGCTCTTCTTCTTTGGTCCATTTCCCATAGGATTTCAGTTTGGCCACCGTGGCCTGTGAACTGCAGGTGATCTCCTCTGTGTCACTCTGGCTATGATTTGTGAACATCATCTAATAATTACTACGGCATCAGCACAAAAAAATTTGTATCACTGACACTGGGCAAGTTGGGCATGAGCCCACAGGCACTCCAGTTGTTAGGATTTAAGTTGAAATAAAAAGGATGATCCAAGCGCATAGCTTGTTCAGTTGAATGTGATCATTTGCGGTATCTGATTGCGATACATAGAACAAGAGGTCAGAAAGAACTGGAACTTGTTGGTGACGCCTGTCACAAAAATGAAAAAAAGTAACACAGACAAAAAGTTTCTTGAGTCTGTGAAGCAGGACAGTGGCTCCTTTGATAAATTTGGCCAAGTCAAAATATTTTGTCCTTGCAGGGCAAACCATCTGCACTGAGAAAAGTTATGCGTTGAGAGATTTTTTAGCTAAAACAAACAGTTATGTCGTATTAATTTGGTATTGACTGCATAGTCTTTTTTAGCTGATTTTCAGGCATCAACAGTATTAACATGTAAGGAATGAAAAGTGTTGTAACATGTTTATATTGCAGAAAATTGTTAATGCCGCCTGAGACAACAGAAAGTTAACCAAGGGAAAAGTTTGATTTACCCTGTGATCAGGTGCTAGGCATGGTTTAGGTCAGTAGTATCTTGCACCCCATGGTATCCAGATTGTGTCAATCCCATTTGGTCACATGGGAAAAAAGTAAGGGCCGATGTGCAGTAGCAGACAAAATTGCAATGGTCCATGACAAAATCTAAGGATAAATTTTGTCATGACAATTTTTGTCTTGTCTGTTGCATCTGCATTCTGACAACACTGTCAATATCGTATTTTTTGCAACACTTGTGAGAAACAGCCAAGATGCAAAATTTATACCATTAAAACCTTTTTTGAGAAATGACTGAGAAGTAAACAAAATTTTGTTTATTTAAACGATTTTGTCCAGTTTTTACCCAGATATAAACACTGGACCTTTATAGATTGTTCACTTCCGTTGCATTACAACCATTGTTGACTTAGTTAATGCTTTATTTATGTTTCTTGGCTGGCCGCTCTAAGTGTTTCGTCATTGTAGATATCATATTTCTGACCACATTTCAGTCTATTCGGAGTCACATGTTTCAGGAGTCATTCAAAGTTGTACTTACTTCCAGCACTGCACA